AAAAGATGATACAATCATTTGAAATACTTCTACCATTTGATCACCATTGTAAGGAAAATCTAGTGTTGTAATCCTTATTAACTCACTAAGGCATGAGTGGTGGCTTGTCGTGACCCAACCCAAAGTTTGTGCAAAAGAGAGTGGTGTTAGACTATGGTCAAGTTTTACATTTATAATTTGCCACTACTACCTTTCACTAAAAATATAATTAGGGTGAGTAGGGATTGTCCCAAAGGATTGGTAGGTCGTATTAGGTTGTGGAATTGAGATTAGAGTTAGTAGGTCGAGTGATCAAAAGATTGGTTAGTGATTGAATTATACGAAGATGCAATTTAAACTAAAGTAAACAATTAAATGCAATAGGGAGAAAATAAGAGAGAGAGATCTTGGGATTTAGAGATCACCACTAAGCATAGCTTTTCTACACCCTTAATGAATGATTAATGAGGAGGAAAACATGTATTGCAACATTAGTGTGCGTGTGTGGTTGTTTCAATAAGCATGGATGACTAATTAAGTATATATTGTCTAAGCAACATGGTAGATAGCACAATATATCAAACTAAGCCATTAATCATTTCTTTAAGCTCACAATCCAAACACATCACAAGGTTAGAGACATATGTTACTTGTTTTCATAAGTATGGAACATCAAACAACAAGCCTGGATTGTCCTCCCATTTAACATCTAAACTACAACTACACTACAATTAAGATAATAACATGGAATTAAACTAATTAAACTAAGGGAGATGCACAATCCATCAAGAAATGAGTATAAACTATCAAATAAACCACAAGAGTATTCCATTAAGCACTATGTCTCGACAATCTCTAGATCTATAGCATTAATACACAGAGACATGCATCAATAACACAAAATCTAGAGACAAACACATGAATATCTATTCTAACATACATAGACATATGGATATAATGAAATGATCAATTGGAGGCATTAAATCACACAAATCATTAAATAAACAAGATCTATATATATAAAAGTGTCAAAACATGTATCACAATACAAATCCCCTCAAAAATACATAAATCAAGATGTAGAAAGCATGCTTAGGACTAACTCTAGCCCCAAGAGGATGTCTAGCCACTCATGGATGGTGTCCTCCAACCCTCAAGGGCTAACTCCATGGTAGAGATTGTTCTTCTTCTTGGTTAATGAAAGAACTCCAAGCTTGTGTCTCTAGCCTCCTTTCTTCTTTTCTTCCTCACTAAGAATATGAAAATTGTGTCTCTAGTGTATGTATTTAGTATATCTCAAGAATGGCTCATATTCCTTATATAGGTAGGTTAAATGTCACCCCCAATGAGCTGGGCTCGTACACCAATATTCCTTCCAATGATTGGATATGAGACAACTTTTAATGAGCTGGAAATTGAATTTTCTCGGGCTTGAGGAAGTTCGATCGATCGAACTTGTGGTAAGATTGATCGAACATGGCTGAGATCTATTGAATTTAAGCTAGATCGATCCTCTATGGTGGCGCCTTTTTGGATAAAGACAAATCTGAGATATTTTGAAGATATTTTTAGGAAAGAGACAATTATGGTAGGTAGGGTGGTACAACTGGATAAGATAGAATCTTTTCGATCGATCGGAAGAAAGTTGGATTGATCGAACTTTGTGGGATCTTTGGATAAGGACAAAAGAGCTTGGATCCATCTTGAAATGCTGAGATCGATGAACTTTCGATCGATCGAATATTTTCTAAGATCGATCGAACTTGCTGAATTTCCACCACTTGCTTCCTTTTGCTCCCACTTTGCTCCTTTCTTTGATTCATCTCAAGATTGCTTCAATTATGCTCTTATTTAGCTGAGTTAGCTTATTTTAGGGATAAGCACTTGAAAATGGAAATAATACAAAATTAATCTAAAGTAGGAAAATAAGATAGATAAAGATTCTAGAATACCTAAGCTTAAAGGGTTTAAATGCGCACTTTTCAGCGCTCATCAATGAGGCTACTGCAACTCTAACTTCACAATCTGAATGCTTTAAAAATTCTTTAGCAATTAAAGCCTTCATTATTAGGGATAGTGCAGCTTGCATTGAAGCACATGGGTCCTGGTTTAGTTTGCAAAGCAAGTGATCAGTTTTGGTAAGCAACCAAAGGAGCTTATTGATTAAGGATGGAGGTTGAAAAAGCATATTTCCAATTTTTAAAAGTTGTTGTTCCAAATTTATTTTCAGTGCTGTTTTTGGTTCCCTATAATTTTCATTCCAGTTAATTCTATTTCTATGTGATGGGAAGCTTGGTTTGGACTCAACAATCTCAACCTTGCCTGGCTTAGAACAAAGTCATTGGGGACATAAAACGATGTTCTCCTCTAACATTGCTAAGAGGATTAGGTCAATGGACAGAGTTTAAAGAAGGTTGTTGATGGTCATGGTGGAAAGGTATAACATACGAATGGTTGAGGATAATGCCAACATAGAACTCAAATTGAATTAAGTAAACTAAATTATAAACTAGAACAATGCACAACTAAGAAATCTGAATGCAAATGAAATTAATTATGCTATAAGTCATGCACTGGTTTAGGTGTAAAAATAAAGTGGAAACAATGAAAAGATTTTTTTATTTTTTTAAATTAAATGTGCAACTGAGACAATTTAAAGGGGTTCAAAATTTAAAAGGTTCAATTAGGACCTTTTGCAATTTCTAAACTAATTGAATGGATAAAGTACTAATAACAAATTTTTTTTAGTTGAAGTACATGTACCTTTTCTGAAGTACAATGCAGATCCCAATTGAATGCTCCGAGTGTTGAAGATTACCTTAAAATAGCTGTTCGAACTGAAGTAGGAATTCTGATTTTTTTTTTTGTGTGTGCGTGTGTGTGCGCGCTTCAATCTACTACTGAATAAGCTGAACTATTTTGTTGTGGCTCTGAAATTTGGTCTGATCTTCTGAACTGGGCTAAGCTTGGGCCTGAAAACTCAATCTGCAACTTCCTTAAATGGGCTGGATATGACTATTTTAAATTTGAGTTTGGTCAAATTTGGTTGATAAGGAAACAAAGTATATCCTTTCCAAACCGAAATCTGAACTTTCCAAATAATCCAAAGTTGACTTTCCAAAATCAGTAGCGCTAAAATTTTGGTGACAATAAGGATTGCAAAGATTGTAATAACCCAAAGTTACTTTCCAAAATCAGTCGTGCATATTGCAATAATCCAAAGTTGACTTTCCAAAATCCAAAAGAGGATGATGAAATTTCGGTAAACAATTACAAAGATCTAGGCAAACTTTGACAAACTAGTGTGAACTAGAACTGGTGATGACGATGAAACGATGAGTTCGATGACGAATTCTGACTACTTTCAAATGACAACATGATGAGATTGTAGTGACAGTGACAAAACCTTCGGAGAAGGCTGTTTGTTGGTTGTCTGTGAAGTTTTGTTCGTGAATGTACTATTGGCTGGGTTGCGTCACTTGCGTGGTTTTGATCTAACGATGGAGGATTTTGGGGTTGGAGTGCAGGCTGTTGCAGCGGAAGATCGAGGAAGATGACAACTAGGGTTTGTGTAGTTTTGGTGATGGTGAAGCAGTGGTGCTTTGGTTCTAGATTTTGCAACATAGGCATTGGCTGTAAATTTTGTTAGGGTGTCGGTTTGTATTGGTGGCGGATAGGGCTTAGGATCTTCAGATAGCCAAAAAGTGATAAATGGATTGGATTGCTAATTGATTCAGCAGCTGTGGTTTTCAGATGGATAAATTGTAGATTGATTTGATTGCTGTGAACACTTTGAATCTTTTGCTCTGATACCAATTGATGCAGCAACGGATAGGGGCGATTCAAAATCAGAATTAAAGTAGAATAAGAACAAGATTGAGAGAGAAAGGGTAGAAAATTAGAAGGAAGAGGAATCAGAAGAATTCAAAGGGAGAAGAAATCACGATAGTCTCAAATTTCAATATCAATAACAATCATCAAAAGGTGACTTTCCCAATGTCTGAACCAACATATAAATAGACCTCAAAGAAAACCCTAATAAACCTATTACCATAAATAAAACCCTAAATTGCTGAAATATCCCATAATAATACTAAATAAACAAAAATCCTTAATTCTATCTTTCTTTCCCACGTCTCCAATAATAGGCATGGGCTGTATGGACTTCAAGTTCTCGGACCAGGCTCGGTTCTTCATCATGATGTGATGCCCCGAATCCCATAATCTGGTACATCAACAAGTAACCCGTAACCCGACCCGATATCGAGTCCTAAAAGCGAAAGCGAAAAAAGAAGAAGAGGTCACTAGAGGTAAATATCGCCTCTAGGACAATAAGAGAGCCTCATAAGAAGTCTCAAAACAAAACTTGAAGACAAGAGCGGAAGCTAAGGTCAAAACGAACGAAAGACAAAGATGAGTATAAGTCAAATGAAGTGATCTCAATCCAAACTAAACAATTTAGGACATCCAATGAGGTTCTAAGACTCAAAGTCAAGGTCTCCCGAAAGTACATTATCCCGGTCAAGTAATATCCCAACATTGTTCCACTAAAATGAGTATAACTCCTAGCGGGAATAGAATCTGAAATTTTGGTTGATACCATTGGAACACTGACTCAAAATTCTTGAGTTTAGACTAAGGAATGACTTAATTTGGATCTGGGATGAGAGAGATATGACCATTACAAAATCGAATGAAGAAACTGACTAGTGCAAAAATGGAGGTGCTACCGGTAGCCGGGCACCCAGGGAGCCGCGCGCGCTGGCAAGCACTTTGACAAGCTGCTACCGGTAGCAGAAAGCTGAAGCTACTGGTGAACAGTCATTTCAGCCCAAAAATGCTAAAAACAAACCTCCAAACTTACTACCCTTTGCCCCAAAATGATTTCTAAGACTTTTAAGGTGTATCCAAAGTAAAATTAAGCATGTAAAAGATGAAAATACCCTGGAATACATTAAATACCAAAATTAAACATTTTGATGCAAAAATACATTTCCATACATTCAAAAGAAATGGCCATAGGCCTCAAATACAATCTCTTGAAATTATTATACACGCTCTTACAAAAGTAAAGTTATGATTTTACATTTCCAAATGAAGAAGTCCGCCACATTGAGTTTAAAATTCTAAATTATACATGTAGCATATTTGCATTAAAAATACATCCAAAAGAGAAATAACAACAAAAATCCACAAGTAAGCCCAAAGGTGAGTTGGCTCTGTAGCGAAGGATGCTGAGGAATTTGAGGAGATGCAGCCTGTAGAAGTTGTGGGGAAGAAATAGGGAATGGAGCTGACTTCAACTGTTGATGGTGATTAGCTGACAACTGGCTTGCTGAGTGATGTTGCTGAAGCATTTCCGATTTAGGACCCATCTGCTGTCTTATCTTTAAGTCATTTACATCATTTATCTGATGAAGCTGTGGCATTTCTTGTGCATGCATCTGTGCAGGTTGCTGATGCTTAGTTTGCTGATGCAATTGCTGCTGCTTCTGTTGCAGTAACTGTTGTTTTTGCATCAATAGTTGCTGGATCTGATGCTGTTGATACTGCTGTTTCAATTGTTGGCTCTGTAGCGTCTGCTGTTCATGCTGTTGTTTTAGATGTTGATGTTGAAGCATATTGGAATTTGATTGAAGGGGAGTAAGGTTCGGCTGTAGCACAGTCATCCCACCCTGTGATGATAAGGATGTAACATTTCCCTGTTGGGGAGCACTCACAGGAGTTTGTTGTAGAGATCCCACTGCAACCTGCTGTAATGAATTCAGTGCATTTCCTTGACCTGACTCTATACTGGAAATAGGCTGCAGTGGATTTATCATGCTCTGCAATGCACTTGATACCCCAGATAAATAAGACAACGAATTATGCTGCAAATTCGCCACGTTGTTTTGCTGCATTGTTGCAACAGAACCCAATAAGTTCATCGATTGCATCTGGGGGTTCATTTGGTTTTCATGTGGCTGCACTTGAGTAATTTGAGATTGTGGCTGCTGTGTTTGCTGCATGGAATGCATATGAGGTGGGGGAAGTTGCTGCCCTTGCTGAAGTGCAGAACCAGGCCTCCGGGGCCTATTTGAATTAAGAAAACTGATAATTTGCTTCTCATAAGAACCCAACTTGTCCTTGTAACCAGGTGCAATATTGCTTTTTGGAACTTGTAAGAATGAAATAATTTTCTCCAACATAGTCTTGAAAATTTTGAGCTTGTCAAGCTGATCATTCTTTGGCTGCTGAGGATGGGAATCATGCTGCAAAATAGTAAGATTTTGCAAGTGTATATCAAGAATTAAAAGAGTCAATATTGAGAAATCAACACTTCCTCCCTCCTTTTTTCTTTAAGTAAAATCCAGATGGTACACTATCTCGAACCCTAAATCCCCCTACCCGACTGCCCAAAGATAATCCCACCACCAAAATTAAATTGATAAATGTTGATTGAAAGTTATGCCAAGGAAATAAATTCAAAATATGTAGGCTGATAATTTACCAGCTGCAATTTTCCAGCAGTTTTCTGGTACATTTCATTCAGTTCTGGTAAGTACATCTCTTTCATGGCTTTAATCTGCAAAGGGTAAAGCTTCAAAGTTTCAGGTACCATAGAGATAAATCTACCAATTTGCAGATAACTGAAAGTACAAGTTATAAGAATTCTTTCCCCCATCACATTCTTTTGCACATCAATGCACTTTTTTGTACTTTATAATATCAAAAACACAAGAAAACCAGTTAACAGAAAAGGACATAAGACCAATGGGCCATTAACCCAATGGTATAACCACTCCTCCTTCAAAGGGAAGGTGAGAGGTTCGAGCCCCGCAGTGGGTAATTTGTGAAATGTGTATGTGAGTACTTACCTAACCGGAAAAAGGAAAAAAGAAAAAGGAAAAAGGAAAAAGAAAAAAAAAAAAAAAAAAGATATAGAAAATGAAAACTTTCATAAAAGCCAAATATTTATCCATAATGCATGAAAGTCATGCAAGGCGGTATCTGCCTATAAATGTCAGAAATGAAGCAAGACAATAAAAGAGCCTTAGCTATTTTACCAATGTAATTGTACATGACTGCAAGGTTAAAACAATCATTTCTAAGAGTGAGAATTCTTATTCATTCCACAACAGAAGCAAGGTCGACGGTACCATCCACATGCTACGTCCTTTCTTCCAATAGTTTATCTTGACATAATGCCTACATAATCTCATGGTTCTCAATGAAAATACAGTGGCCATACAAGCTCTGTATCATCAAGAAAGTCGAACTTTCTTCCCCTGTTCTTCCAAGCTAAATAAAGCAGTATATAGATTGCATAATGTTTGAATTTCTGAAAAAATGTACAGCTTTTGTAAACAAAATGATTGTATTAGTATGTCTTAATAAAGTGTCTAAGTTGAACTGTATCCAACAAAACAAAAAATGCTAGCCTCAGTGAGATCAGACACACCATCACATCCACAATGCAAACACAAGAATCCTATTCTCCTCTTAGTTTATGTTGATCCACGCACGTCATTTGTGGAGGCGGCTCCACAAGCCTACTCTGTTAGCTCAGATCAACTCGGTATACACATCTTCCTAATCTCCCCTATAAACAACTGTTTAATACTTGATCAAATTCTACTCAGGAAATGGGCCTGCTGATAATGATTGAAATGCAACTTCTGTGTTTCTATAATCTCAAACCCCAAGAACATCTTTACCTACAACCAATGTTGACCCTTTTCCCCCATGCTCCTCACCTTCTATACATGCTCTGCCATGCATCAACTTATGCACATTAAAGTCAACTGCTATAAAAAATAAATAATAAATAAAATCAAAATCAAAATATACCATACATTATTGTTATGGCTAAAAAGGTGATATTTGACATTCAGGCATACCGCTTGTATGCATTTATCCTGGCCAGGTTTAATATGAAGATTAAGCAAAAGCAGTATTTCAACAAGCCATGAGTATTGGATAGTACCCTGATGTTCCATCATCCATGATACTTCCAACCACTAAGCCCAAATATACAATTGATTCATAGTGTCACAAAGTACATAGTGCACCCTAAATTATTTGAATCAATAATAAGATAATTTCTACAATGCCACAAAAGAATTAATGCAATCAACAACAGAATTCCTTAAGAAAGACTAAAAAAACACTAACTCGGACTATTCTCTCGCCTTTGCAAATCACAAAGATACTTTAACGGAAAACTGATGGAACTCATAATGGTGGATGGAAAGACAATGATTAGCAATCGGTTCCGGTTTTAGAGGGTAAGAAATATTGCATATACTAATTTTTATACAAGTGGTGAGATTAGCATACGTGGTATACTCTATAATCATATAAGAAGAAAAAAATAAATAAATTTTACTGATTGCACTGATCTAGAAAGTGAGTTTGCTCCCTGATTTTTCATATAATTTTGTAAGTACTAATATTTCATGAACTTTTGAAGTATTACCGAAATATTTTTTTAAATTACTATAATCAGTCGTTTTTGGCTACCAGACGGTCCAGACCACAAAAAGACAATCAAATTGTGACGAGAAAAGTACACATAAGTGAACTTGGGGGCCTCAAATAACAAAATCTTTTGACTTTTAAAGTCCATTTTTCACTTAGGTTGAGTAAGGCAATTTTTTTTATAAGTAAAGATTGTATAAAGAAGCGTTCAAAAGGGGAACGCATCCCTCAGAAAATACACAAGGCCTAATAGGGCCTGTAAACTCTCAGGAAGTCCAAAAATCAACTATCTCCTCAATGGATTTACAATATTTCCCTATAACCCAACAAAAAAGAGTGCTAATAATAGATAACTTCAACTTCCCTATAGGAGTCTCCTTTCCTTCGAAGGACCTCCTATTTCTTTCAAGCCATAAACACCACCAGATGCAAAGAGGCGTAACCCTCCAAAAACCACAGACTTAGGCCCCATTGTAAAACCTCGCTAAGCCTCAATCAAATTTCTGGAGAATCTGGGCATAACCCACTGAACCCAAACATCTCAACGGAAAGACACAGCAATCCTAAGCCACGGGGCAATGCAAAAGAAGGTGATCAACCGTTTCCCCAACTCTCTTACACATGTAACACCAATTTACCACTACTTGTCTTCTGCTTCTTATGTTATCCTGGGTTAAGATCGTCCCAAAGACCAAAGTCCATGCAAAAAATGCCACTTTGACAGGGGCCTTGGATCTCCAAATAGCCTTCCATGGGAAAGACGCCCCATAGGCTTCCTTAATGCACCTGTAGAAAGACCAAACACCAAGACAACCCTGGGGAGAATAAACCCACACCCATGAGTCAGAAACATCGCCCGTAAACTCCTATCTGTACACCATTTCCAAAAGACCAACGGCATCCTCGATTTCCAAATCTTGAAAGTGCCTCAAAAAAACCCTTTTGATTATTTATTTATTTATTTTTTATATGCAGTCAGTCACAAAAGCAGTCTGTCACAAAAGTGTGTCTATCCATAGCAATCCTAACGAGCTTGGGAAAAGGATGGCAAGGGAGCGATCGTCGCACCAAAAATCCTCCCAAAAGCAGATTCTCCTCCCATCCCCCACTCGAAATCTAATGTGTTTTCAGAATTCATCACACCTTTTCCAAATGGACTTCCAAACCCAAAACCGTAAGGGACTTTCGCCTCCCTAGAACATCAACTATCTCTCTCCTCCCCAAAACTGCTCGCAACCACCCTTCTCCAAAGTCTATGCCTCTCCACCCCAGAACTCCACGGCCACTTGCCCAAAAGGGCCTTGTTAAAAGGTACCAGCCTGCTAATACCCAAACCTCCCAAATGAATTGGATTGCAAACCTGATCCCTACGAACCAGATGAAACTTGAACTCCTTCCCTATCCCACCCCAAAGGAAATTTCGTTACAGCCTCTCAATCATCTTAATCCCAGAACAAGGAATCTGAAAAAGAGAGAAAAAATAGGTTGGAAGATTAAACAAAGTGCTCTTCATCAAAGTGACTCTCCCACCTTTCGAAAGATACTACATCTTCCTGTTGGGATTTATATGCCCTGGCATAGCAAATTCCTATCTGGATTGTATTGACATATGTTCCTGACATATCTGAAATATTTATGATTTATATAATTGGTGAATTCAATGTATTATGTTTCAATTCACTATGAAATTGATAGTGTCCAGTTAATTACAAGAAATATTTATATATATGTATGTGATGACAATCAATGCATGATATATAAATAGTAATTATAAATTGTTCATAGTCGGTAATTATGGATGGACTCATAATTAATTAAGACTTGAACTGGATCCGCGTTAGGTTGAGATATATTGCGAGAGCCGTCGTATGCAATTACTCCCTATCACCGTCATGGCATTTGACTCTTAAGCATGAAAAAAGTATAGACTCTTTTATTAATTAATAATTACTTGGATTTGTTCGGCGGATTCTTCGGGATCCTTAGACCGACACTTTGGGTAGTTATGTAATTAATAGTTAGAGGGTTATATTTTCAATATTTGCATCATTGCTACTTGTATTTATTTTGTATTGATTATGGTTGATCACAAAGTAAATTCGAAGGCCTTCGTGTGTTTTTAGACAAAATGATTTATTATATATTTATTTATTTAAATTATTATTTTTGTCAAACAAATGTTTTATTGTGATCGAGCCAGAAATAATCAAAGGTACCAAAATAAATATATTAATTAAGTAGTCGGATTGATGGCTATATTTATCCGATAACTAATTATGCATAGAGGGGTCAAAGTGCAATATTGACTTAGAGGTTATTTATTATTTAATTGGAGTTCAATTAATTTCTTTTAGTGGAGTAGAAATTAATTTATGAATTAATTGAATTGGGTCCATGGACCGGGCCAATTATTAATTCATTGTAGCCAATAAAATAATAGGCCCAATGGATTCTCACTCATAGCCCAACTTGATATTGGAATCATATTAGATTTGAGACATATGAATTAGAGATGGAGAAGGATTTGTTGTTTCCTTTCCTTTATTTTTATGTTGCCTATAAATATACATGGTCTATGTATATTTTAGGGGGTGATTTTTATGAGAAGGAAAAAGGAATAAATTTTCTCTCTCTAGAAAATTAGGGTTTATGTTCTCATCTAATGGAGGCTCCCACAAGCCTAGTTTTCCAAGGTCATTCATGGAGGCATATGAGTGATTCCTAAAGGCAAAAGAATTACCAAGAAGATGGAGATCCATGGAAAAGGTGTCTAGCAAAAGGGATCTACAATAAGTGAGAACATTCACTTTAGAGGAGAGATCTAAGGTTTACTCAAACCTTGATGTAAGTATTCAATCTTTTAATTGAATGATACATCATGTTTTATTTTTGCATAAAACTTGTCTCTAAGTGATGAATCAAGATCTATGAATTTAAATCCCTCGAAAAGTTTTTAAAACTAGCACGTTTCCCAACAGTGGTATCAGAGCATGGTTTGATTCATTATTAGAGATCATGATTTTATGAAAATCATCATTCATGGATCCAAAATTATATTCATATATATTTTTATTGATGTATGTTGATGTATGATTTAATATGTTG